ACTTAGGGCATAACACTTACAAGACTGTTGCGGGCTTCCCAGGAAAAGAGAGAATGGATTATTAAAGATCATGATTTTTTTTTTTAAAATTATATTTGATGACAGATATGATTTGGATCTTTAGCTTTTGGAGTAATGCGATGCATGGGAAGTTTCTCATCCTATTGTCTCAAATCTCGATGATTATTATTTAACTCTATCTCTGATCACCCTATTCATCAATCCCTAATGATTCTCTGATGTGTGTTCTCTAGCAGAATTTTTTTATTTTTTGATTAATATTAACTTATAATCTATTCAAATTGAGGCAGAGATCTTTTTGGAGTTCTTTATTCACAGTCCTGAAGCTGCATTAATTCATTATATATAATATTTTTGATTCTTTTTTGGGTCCCTCAATTGATCTTCCTAGAACACAACACTCATAAATACAATGGACGGAATAAACTAAACATACAATCTTAACTAGCAACAGCTGCACCGGCATCTTTCTCATGCAGGAAATATGCCTATAAACAGTACAGGCTGTTGCCACGAATTCACCTCCGTTTTGCAACCAATTTATTAATTCAGACAAAGTCTTAACATTAGTTTTAACTACATGTTAATAACTATTTGTTCATTAATTATCCACGCATTTCGTGGGACTCATTCATGTCTTCTTTATAAATTTGTAAATGTCCTTTTAGTTTATTAGTAAGATATTTGTTGTTTCTCCAAGAAAAGTATAGGACTTAGAGTTGGCTTCGCAATAGATTTTCTTGTTATTGTATGTTCTTTACGAATTCCACGATCTTAGTTAATTAGTAGGATTACTGGTTGTTTCTCCAAGAAAAGTATAGGATTTATCATTGGCCTCGGAAGAGATTTGCTTGTCATTTTGTTCTTTACGAACTCAATGTGGCGGTGACATTTGGATTGATTTATGCTTGCAGATTAGCTGATTGGCTTGTTGGCTTCTGGGATTCAGTTTCTTGGGAAGCCTAAAGACAGTGGATGAGTGTAAGAGATTTTCAATGGGTTTTCCTGGACGAATTCTATGTTAGATTTCAGGTTTTTGTATATTCTTTTATTGAAGTACTTTAGCTTTGATCCTAAATGTTTTTTTTGCTCAAACGATTAATTATGCCTATATATGTGCATCTATATTCTGAAAATCTATGTTACACAATCATTTGATGATTTACAACATACTTCTAGCAGTAATGATGTAGTCAGTACTGAGATAGACTGTTGAAGTTGTGTAAATCGAAGTACTCACCAGGCACCGGCATTTGTCTTTCAGGCATGGCAGCAAAACTTCAATGCACAATAAATCAGTCGACTATAGCCTGCAGACGAAACCTTTACTGCAAATCCATTGAATGTTCACCGTTATTCAAAAAGGGATTGGCGCTAAGTCAAGCTTTCAATGGATAAGATGCTTGAATCACATAACAACGACTCCATCAAAAAGATGATGCTGATGCATGAGGAAATTTTTAAACAGCAGGTATGAATGAACTCATATTTATACAGAGAATTATATTTATATATTGGATTCCCTTCTACATGTTCTATTCATTTGTTCCTTCGCAATTGAAAAATAATAAAAAAAACTACCAGTCCGATGATAATGATTTACAGAGCTTAAAGAAAATTTGTTCTAAAAGTTGCTAGAATGCACAGAAACCTACCAGTGTTTCTATTTCGGACAGGTTAGAAATCGATACTTTCAGACAGCTCTAGCAAATGTTTCGGAAACTCAAAAAAATGTTTCCTATTTTTTTATTGAAACTTGAAAATTCTATAGGGGCACTTCATGGAAACTTTAGAAAATCTGTCAAATTATTCGAAAACTTTCTCAACTTAAAAACGGGCTTTGACTTAAAAGTAACTTATTGTGAGCTACAGATTGACATTTATCTAATTTATCGATCATTCAATGAAATGATGAAAAATAATTCATTCGTTTAGCAAGGGATATACATGATTTATTATTACAGCATCGATATTATTTGGTGTGTACCATAATACAAAATGCAACATGGTAGTGCTAACACAAGGTGATTTTGTTGTAGGTTAAAGAGCTCCACCGGCTATATAATCTTCAAAAGAAACTTATGCACGAGCTTAAAACCGAAGTACTACGAAGAAGGGCACCTCTAACAGAGACGGTTACTAACAATTCTAAATTTGCTATATGGCATCAACCAGTAACTAATATACAAAACCATGTCCACCATGCTCATAGTGTAAGATCAAATGATTCAAAGGAACAAAGTGGTAGTTTCTTGGGTCCAGAAAGCTCAAGAATGCCAATGAAATTAGACCTAGCTGATCAAGAAGGCACCCCGTCCATAGATTTACGAAAGTTTGGAAAGGAGAGAGAACTGGAAATCATTGACAAAGAAACAGGAGATGTGGAATTGGAACTAACACTGTGTATTGGGCGATACCAAAGAAAAAATAGATTGCAGAGTTCTTCTCCAATCAAAAAATATGTTCTCCCAAGTTCTAGTATTACCGATTCAAGTGCCTAAGAGTAAACAAGACATGATAATTGTTTTCAAAATGTTGTGCTGAAGCTGAAGTAAAATCCCTTAAGAATTTGTAACACGTTGAAAATGTAGCATGAGGGTCGATTTAGTAAATGTTGATATAAATTTGAGTCATAAGCACTATGGCTTTCAACCTAAATGGTTTCAATTTCAACAAATCCGTAGATTATAGTCAAGGCGGTGTAATTAATACTTGGGCCGACATCATTAATTGTGCTAGCCTTGGTTTTGAAGTTACGCAGGAACGTATGCTCGTAACTTCCCTCTAGACCTAGCCTCTATCGAAGCTCCATCTACAGAGGGATAAGACCCAAACTTAGCTCATGTTTGACGATCATTATTTGGGAAAAATAGAATTTTGAATAGTAATTTTTAGGAGAATATATGGTTAAAAAAGTAGAAAAAAATTTTAGGTTTACATTCAAAATATTTTATTATATAAATGTGTAGTTGAAAATGAGTATGTAGGAAAAAGAATTTGAAAATAATGATTGTCAAACAGAGCTTANAAGAATTTGAAAATAATGATTGTCAAACAGGAGCTTAGTGTATAGGAGTTGAAAAAAAACAAAAAAAAAAACAAATGAGCAATAAACTCTTTCTTGTTCTATCAAGAGGTCGTTAATTGCTCTATTTTTCTTAGGGGTTGATTGATGATTGAATATTATTTGTTTGTTTTATATGCATTTTTATTTTCATTTATCTTCCCATCTTTTGGGGAGTTTTTTTGACATTTAAATTTGAAATTAAACGAGAAAAATTAAAATTTTTGCTATGAGATAATAATATATCAGAAATAAGAAAGAATATAAATGAAATGGTCAAAATTCAACACTTTGTCTTAAAATAAAAATATCCAAGAGTGGTGGATGTAGCCAAGTGAATTAAGGCATTGGACTGTGAATCCACCGTGCACGGGTTCAACTCCAGCCGTTCGCTCATAACTAAAATGATAACATCATCCTATTTTTATATTAAAAAAAAAGGATGAAGAAAGAAATTTTATTTTCTCGCTTATTTACTATGGCAACGAATAATTAAATTATCACTATATTTATTCATTTTTCTATTTTTGCTTCCAAGTGCATGACAACTCCAATGGATTGTGGATTTTTTTCTACCAATTAAGACTCTCCCTTCACCAGGGATGATCTATAGTGTTCATAACTACTCTTTTTATTATAGACGCTTACTTAACCAATGCTTACGTTTCCATCTTTGCGACTCACTTGAGTCATTTCCAACATTACAATGCATTTGAATTAGCTTAAAATTCACAAGTGAATAAATAAATTTACTATATATTTAAAAAAAATGGATATCTTCTTGTCTTTATTCTTGAATAGACAACTATTGAGTCAAGATTCCTCAACAAACAATCAATCACGAAATTAAGATTTTTTATTTGAGGGCACTATGACACTATGTTGCAATGGGTAAGATATAGGCTAAGTTATTTATTTTATTCGAAAACTTTGTTAGATTTTTTTTTAAAAAAATCAGCTTTTGTTATAAAATTTGTAAACAAAACACAAAAATGGAAATCGACAATATTTTAATTTGAAAAAAAAAAATCAAATTTTGATAATACATAACCCGAAAAATGTTGAGAAGAAAATAATTGAAAATTATAGTTACACATGCGCACATATACGAAAATGTTGGAATTTGGTTAGAACAAAAGAAAAATAGTTGTAAGGCCCTGTTTGATTAGCCTTAAATTCCATGGAAAATGGAAAACTTCCCACCATTTTTCAACTTTTTGCTGTTTGATAGGATATATTTTCCAAGCAAAGCATTTTCCCAATTCCCAGCTCGTGACCCTCTTTTCCTCAGAATCCTGGAATTGGTTTTCCCATAGTTCAGCAGGTTTTTTTCTTTTTTTAGCAAGTGGGAATTGCAACCAAATCCATCCACTACACCGGCACCTTCTACTCCAAATTCATCAAGTATGCCGCCGGACAAACCACCGAATTTCCACACTGTCAACATGTACTCATCCCATTCTTCAATTTCATACCAAAAATCGGACATAACACCTCCAAAATCAGACGAAATTCGAGCTCAAAATCAAGCCTTCGCGCACGGTTTCAACACCAATTCCGGCCAACTCTCCAACACCGACAGCCATACTCCATTACATGCCCCTAATACTCATTAAGGCGAGTAGTTTCATGGTCCCATATCATCAAGAAATGATTTAAATCAAGTTCAATTCCATACCAGTTCAAATGCAGCGAACCACGAATAGTTCATCCCAAATTTCAGCGCCGACGTTGAGAATCACGGTCGCGCACCACCACCATTACCTCCTTCTCATTATGGCGGACAACATACATATATGAGTCTTCGTCAATTTAGCTCGAAGACGAGGCAGCCAAGGAGGAGAGCAGGAAACGGGCCTCACTTTTTTTTATTAGAAAGGCCTTTTATAATTTTGTCAATTTCAACTTTTTTTTTTTTTTTTGGCAATTCAAACAAATTCTATCCACAATTGTAACAAATTATATCACTTTAGTAGACAATTTTAATGAAAAATAAAGTCAAACGAATACCAAAAGTTCCAAAATTTCAATACTTTTCAGGTGGAAAATTATATCAATAAAACATAATTAATTGACAATTCTCGGTAAAACAATTTCTAGGCAAATCAATTCCCTGTAAAATATTTTCTTTCCACCTATTTTCCACATTTGCAATCAAACGGACCCTAAGTATAAAATCATGAAAAATGTGAAAAGTGATTTTCCTGTCAACTTCGGTCAAAATTCAGACATGATTCAATAGTCAAATTATGAAAAAAAATAATCTAGCTTGTTCTAATCGTCAACTAGATTATCGTGGTATATTTGGGATTTCAAAATCAATTTCGGATTAATAAGAAATTACAATCCAAAATTTGAAGAAAATAAGGTGAAAATCGGCTAAAAAATGGCTAAGGCTTGAACGGAAGGCCAACGCCAGATCTCTGCTTTTGCTACTCAAGCAAAGCGTTAGTGGCAACCTAGCAACAGCAAGGATTGCGTTCCTTTAGAATATGAAGATTGCTGAGTTTTGGAACGTGTCTTTCCTTTCACAACCTTTCTCTTCTATAAATTGGATCACTTGGGTGTCATTTATGCATCCTAATTCATATCTCTTGATTCTTGCATAAAAATTATAGCAAAATCACTCCCAAAAATTGCATACCAAAACCATCGTTGTAGAGAAAACAATCTGATATGGTTCGCTTGGCCTTGTAATTTGAAGTGCATCTGCTACAAAGATATTCTCCGTTGTATCTTTGGAAAATATTGCTATTAACCCGTTAGCATCGTTGTATGGCAAATTCGTTTTAAAGACGGTGTTAAACACTTGCCTCGAACGTTTTCATAACATTCTTTTCTTATTTCTTTCTTTGATTTCTACCATTGATTTTGTGATTTAACATTATTTTTGTGTTATTAAACTTGTGCAAACTTGTACACTACATTCCCCAACAATTTTAAGACGAACTTGCCATTGTTTTGTTGGTTCAAATTTTGTTCTCTTCATCTCTTGGAATAAGCATTACATGTTATTCCTTTCTTGAAATTTTTACTTGTGTTGAACTTTTGTTTACGTAGCATAAATGAATATCGTTGAAACTGCTTCGAGACAAATAACAAATTATACAAATCATGTGATTCTGCCATTGGTTATACTACTTCAAAACGAACCTATTCCACACGAAGAAAAATAGGAGAAATTTGGAGAAGTGGACTACAAGAGATGGAAGCAAAAAATGTTGTTTTATTTCAACACTTTGAACTTGGCAAAGTTCTTAACTGAAATCCCTCCAGCGGTAAAAGAAGGGGAAAATAATTATGAATCAATTATTGCTTTGGATTTATGAAAGAACTCGAATTTCCTTTGCAAGAACTACATCCTAAATGATTGAACAATATACTTTATGAAGTGTATAGTACTATGAAATCGGCTAAGGAACTTTGGGATTCTTTAGAGAAAAAATACAAAATGAAGGACGCCGACATGAAGAAATTCATTATTGGAAAGTTCCTTAATTAAGATGATAGACTCCAAAAACGTCATTAGTCAGGTGTAAGAACTACATGTTCTATTTCATGACATTCATGCAGAGAAAATGGAGTCGGGTGAATCTTTCCAAGTTGCTGTTATCATTGAGAAACTCCCACATTTATGGAGAGATTCCAAAATTTATCTCAAGTATAAACACAATGAGATAAACTTTGAAAATTTGATAGTCTGTTTAAAGATTGAAGACGACAATAGTAGGGCCGAAAGGAAGTCTATTGTACAATTTACAGCAAACTTTGTGGACCCTAGTTCGTAGGTCAACAAAAGCGTAAGGTCTTGGGTGATGCACTGAAAAGAGACAACTCTAAGAATGGTAAGAAGTTCAAAGGCAACTACTACAATTATGAAAAAGTGGGACATCGTTCTAACGAATATCGAAAACCTAAGAACACACAAGCAAACGTGGTTAAAAGAGATACCCTATCTGAAGGGGTGCAAGTTACGAATCTATCTACGATTGTTTCTGAATGCAACAATGTTGGTAATCCAAGGGAATGGTGGGTCGATACTGATTTTATCCGCCACATTTGTGCAAACAAGAACAGTTCTCAAACTACAAAGAACTTATTGGAAAACAACTCATCTAGGAAATTCTACAAGTTCAAAAGTTGAAGGACGAGGGAATATTACTTTGAAGATGACTTCCAACAAAGATCTCATCTTCAACAATGTCCTACATGTATTGAACATTCGCAAGAACTTTGTATCCGGGTCTCTACTGAGAAAAAATGACTTTAAACTTAAATTTGTATATGATTAATTTGTACTCACTAAAAATGAAATGTATGTTGATAAATGATACTTATGTGATGAAATGTTCAAAATAAACGTTCTTACAATTGCACCAAAACAAAGCATTATGAGTAACAATTTGAATTCTACTTATATGTTTGAGTTGTCTAGTT